ATTTATATTTCCGTGTGATATATGTATGAACATTCAATATGTAGCTTTATTTTGCATTTAATATACCGCAAGCGAATATTTTTTTTTGAAAAATTTTATTGTTTCTTTATAACCATTTTTATGAGTTCAGATTGTATCTAAAACATATAATATAAATTCATTGAAACAAATTTATGAATATATATATATATATAATAGTTATNTATATATATATATATCATATCATATCCAAAGATATTCAGAGAAAACATTTACTAGAAGGTCTTGTATTCTTTACAAACAAAGTAAAAATTGTTTACAATATTTAGCAGATTTCCAAAACATTTGCAATAAGACCACCTACTTTGCATCTCAGAATTTTAAATAAATAAAAAGAGCTGATAAATCCTATTCAATTCAATTTTAATGTCAAGAAGGAAGAGAATGATTGAGTATTTGACTATATTTCACTACAAAACACCAGTTGTGAGAATGTTAAGTAAGTAAGTCATTATCAACTGCTAGAAATAAATGTTTTGAATTTGCTATTGACGTGTATTGACTTATTTCAAAGGATTTTTTGCAGTGACATTGAATTTTTTTTATAAGGATTTTTAAGGATTATATTTATTTTTAAGGATTATCTAATAAGAAGATATAAAAAAGTCAGAAGTTTGTCTAATTATGTGTATTTTTGTTTTGTGTCAAGGGTTTAATGTCAAGGGTTGGAAATAGTTAGTGAGTATTTAACTATGCTTTACTGCAAAACCCCAGGGGGGGGGGAATGTTCAGTCGACAAGTCATTATCAATTATAGAAATAAATTATATGATTTTTTTGACGCGTACTGAAAATGACTTACTTACAAAGATTTTTCACAGTGATATACAAATTTATTTTTAAGATTTATGTTCAAATAAGAAGATTGAAAAACGCTCTAAATTTGTTTAACTGTGCTTTTTTTCGTTTTTCTACTTGAAAACTATAAATACGTTTTTCATTCTCATAAAAATTATTCATAATCTATATATTCTAATAACACAAAAAAATTTTAAATTTCATAACAAATTTTCAATCACCTAACAAAGCATAAGCAGAAAAAAATAAATTTTTCTTGTTCCCATAACGGATGAGCTTTGATGCTTAATGGGTTGAAATAATTATTTGGGAAGTTCAGATGCTTTTTCTGGAGGAAGAATGCGATAGTAATTTTATGTTCAATACTAAATACATGAACATTTTTAAAGCTTAGTCTATTGCTTTAGTTATTTTTAAGCTGAAATTTTTTTTTCTTCTTTCTGAAACGTAATCAGAATTCTTAGCATTGTATTGACTGCCAGAGCATTTAAGAAGCCCAAAAAACATCCTCGAACTTTTTTTACCGAAAAATCAGTTTCCTTAAAAAATAAATTTGCATTGAGACTAGAGAAAATAAGAAATGGTTGGTAGGTTAAATCATTTTCTAAATTGTTCGGATTAACCAATTTTAACATTTTATTAGAGCCTAAATCCAGTAAAAATTCGCTTTGTTTACTTTTCTGTAGGAAAAAAAATTAAGTAAATTGCTCTAAAAAAAATTAGGTTGTGCACCGTGGAAAAAAAAATTCTGGTTTAACTACCGTGTTGTATGGTAATGACATTTTCATTAAAAAAAAGTCATAATTCTGGTAATAAAACCCAGAATATATGGTATTCAAACCATTAATTTGGTAATTTTTCCGTTCATATGGGTAATGATTTTCTAGAAATCCTGATTTACTGAAATATTATTCTCATTTCACACACATTTAATAAAAAATGCCAAGTTCTAAAGTAAATTTAACCAAATAAATAGCTTTTGTGCCCTGCTCTAAGTTATTAAGATACAATTTCCCAATTTCACCACTTTTACCAAATTTTCTCATATATGTATTATTAAACCTTATTTACTGCTAATTTCAACAAAATCATTACTAAAGCGCTTCGATAAAAATTACTGATTTTTTTGGTGTTCCCTAAAGCCAGAAACATAGTAAATTTTACCATATCCTGGTAGTTTTGACCATACGTTTTTTTTCCTCAGTGCTGTAATAGGACCCTAGTGCTGCACCCCAGAGCCCATGGTCTAGAAAACTGAGATGGGCACCGTAGGCCTTGACCCTCCTTGGGCTGTCGTGCCACTGAGTTTAGTTTAGTTTAAGATATAGTAAGATACTTTAAATATTACAAATTAGTAAAAAAATTTATTATGCTACCTCTTGAGAATACTTATGTCCTCGTGTTAGCTTTCAAAATTATATCGTGTCGAATCTTGATATGTAAAACTAAAATACTTAGTGCTGTTTGACAGAAAAGCGTAGTTTTTACAGCTTTGTGCACATTTGGAATGGAGATTTTAAAAGAAACAAATTTTTAAATAATAATTTAGCAATAGTTTATTGTCAATTTAGCGCAGTAGATTCAATAAAACTTTCTAGCTTTTTCTCGAGCTGTAAAACGTGTTTAATTGTTCTCTGTTTATTAAATTTCTTCTTAATAATTCATTTTTAAATATAAAATTTTGCACTGTAACCTACCTTTTGAAAAAATAATGTAGTTATTTATAATTCCCCTTCCCAACAATGTCAATTTAAATAAATATAGCACCCACAGTTTAGTTAATAAAAAAGTAGAAAACGTTTATTTTAATAATAGTTTTTGTTTCATATTAAAATAAATTAAATTTCCAGTAGAAGTGCGTATACGAGAGATTAATTGAGATGATTTTTTTTATATTTTAAATCTTGTATGCTTTATTTTTTATTAAAAATGTTTAAAATATTTTTAATTATTAAACTTAAGCTAATTATGATATGATTTGATTTGCTCTTAAAAATTCAAATTCGGTAGCATCGTATCTAAAGACGCACTTGCTGAAAGGATGTTGAAACTCTTAACTATAAATATCCGAGAAGCATAAAAAATCTTTCATGTGTTAATTTTTTGTAGCATAGTGCATAATTAGTAATTATAATTTTGTGAACAAATTCCAGCTAAATTCGAAATGTATGAGAATCACCTCTTTTTGAAAAGAAATATTCCATCTTTTAAATTCCCTGCCTTTTATTAAATATTCCCCCCTTTAAATTTTTAATTAGGTGTCCAAAAATGATTGATAAATCATTAAAAACAGTTGTACAAATTTCAACTCAACTTTATTATCCATATTAAACGAAGTTTTAATTTTTTTAACAGCTAGCTTAAAATTTTTTATTTTTTTTGTAAGAAATATTTGTTAGTTTAATAAAATAAACTACAACATCATTCTATGAAATTTTATCAAAGTAGATCAGGATTACTATTTCTTAAAAAAATTAAAATAATTTTAAAATGTAGATGGAATTGTTAGTTTAGTTTTGCTTGATGACAGACTATTTCACTATATGTAGCTACAATTTTACAATAATACATACTTTCTCTTTCATAAGCTATATTTATCAACCTTAGTAACGTCAAAGATATAAAAATCCCAGTTTTTCATAATTAGTTCCTGTCATTATTATGTCCTGATTAATCCTTTTTTGACAAAATATTATTTTAATTATCTTAACCCAAGGTTCTTTAAAGGCGGTTCTCAAAATATTTTTGACACCAACATTGACTTCCTCAAATTTTCACTCACCCTAACTCAATTTATGGAAAAATAGATATATGACGAAGATTTTCGGAATTTATTTTTAATTAGTCGGCTTTTAGTAAATTAGAATAACTAAACAGAAATCAAGTAAAACTTTATTTTTAGTAGTGTTAATACAGAAAAGCAAGGTTTTACCTTGTTTTGTTAATGGACGGCGCGTGCACACCCAAATTTAGATATTTAGCGTTTGAATGGAACAAAGGAATAAAAAAATTGCATTTTATCCATGAATCTCTAGAGTCCATGATCCAGATTTTTTGGGAATTTGATACTAACTTAGTGACTCAATAGATGACTCTTTTTCTAGGTTTTTCTCCCGTTTGAACTTGAATTTTTTTATTTCGTTTAATAATTGTTATTTTTTTTACGATGCTGCTAGCGGAGCAGCTTTTATGCTAATTTTTTCCTGCCTATTAATTACACACCAATACACTTATAAATATTGTTAGAAATAGTTTGTGCATGTCCTTTGGATAAAAGCGCATTAAAAAATGTAACTGAGCAATAAAACGAACCTCTTTTGCTCAAAAAAGTAGTTTTTGTATTCGCAATAAATCTAATATTTGCAAAATCCGTTTCATATTGTTAAACACATTGTAGCACGTTTCTTTAGTTAGCAGTTTAAAAACTAATACAATTTATCTATGAGGGAACCTTTAGAGTAGTATCTTTAAAATAAATTTTAACATAACTTTCGGAAATTAATTGTTCATAATTAAAAGTGAAAATAAGAACTAAGTTGCTTGAACACAAAATAATTCCCTGAAAGTAAAGAATCAACGTAAATTCAGAAAACGGAAATTGTGCATGTCTTTTTGTCTAAAGGACATACAAATGCGCAATAAATCGAACCTCTTTAGCTTAAAAAAGTAGTTTTTACATGCGCAATAAATCAAACATTTGTGAAAAACATAGCAAATTGTCGAACACATTTTAGCACGTTACTTTATTTAGCAGTTTGAAAAGTAATAAAATTTTTCATTGAAGAAACTTTCCGAGTAGTTTCTCCAAAATTAATAAATAAATCAATCTTCTTAATATAACATTTGGAGAGTAGATGTTTATAATTAAGAGTGAATAATAATAATAAAAAAACTAAATTGCTTGAAAACAAAATAATTCATTTATGTAAAAAAAAAAGCATCAACCTAAATTCGAGAAAACGAAAAAAAAAAAACTAAAATGCCGCACAGCAACACGTTGCAAGATACTTCCAAACTCTCTTTTCACACGTGTTATATAAATATCTTTAATAAGCAAATGTAGTAAAAGAAATAAAAACAAACGTTAAATAAAACGTAACGAAAAAAAATGGAAAAAAATTTGGAATTATTTTGCTTATTGTAATAAATTTAATTTAATCCTACCTCGTAATAAGCAGATGAAAAGGATCCACTCGAGCATGGTCAATCCAGCGGTTCCGGCCCCGCGACTGACGAAACCCCTGCCTCAGTGGAAGATTTAACGCGTCCGCAGCGCCTCTGTTTTCCTTTTGCTGCCCGTTTGAATGAAGAGTTCGGGGGTATTCTGGGCGCGGATTTTGAGTTGCGTTTCAACAACCGGCAACACCCGAGAGGTAGCCGCTCTCAAAAAGATACTTTTATTTTACCACTAGCGCGCGCAAATGCTTAGGTGCAATGATTTGATGTTTCGTGATTTGGTGCTTCGTTTTTATTTCCTCTGAAAATGTATTTATCTTATAACTGGTTTATTACATATAAGGATATTACGAAGTTAAAATTATTTTTATGGTATTTTGCAAGCAAGTAGTACCACATTTTTTTTTCAAATTTTAGTTATGCTCTAGGGGTAATAACTTCTAAACAACTATTTTTTTTATCATTTATCAAATAGTTAAGTCAATGATATCATTTACACCCACCTCCTATCAAGTAAAAATGTGCATATCTTAACACAACGGTTCCCAATTATTTTCGGCTTTGGAACCGTAAATAATTAACCTTCTCGATCGGAACCCCTACGTTGTAATTTATGTTCATTAACTATTATATATTAACCAAAAAAAAGAAGACTAGTAATTCCCTTACCAATATTTATAGAAAAGAATTTAATCAATATTAGTCTTGAAATTAACTTTTATGTCAAATAATTGAAATCACAGGTCAGGAGCGTAGTCTTGATTTTGCTTTTTTGTGTAAGTTGAAAAGCAAAAAAATAAGCTGAATTGTGATTTAAATTGAAAAGAAAAAATGTTACAAGCATTGAGAATAGTCAGAGGTACACATTTCCTTAGTTTAGATTATAATTTTATTATAATTTTATTATTTCCAATTTCAAAGTTTGATGAGAAATTCATAATAATGCTATTTTTTATAAATGTTTACAGAACCCAGGGGGCTCCGCAAAACACCTATTGAGAGCAGCTGTCTTAATACATTAATACTTTTAAATATTTGACAACGGTATCCAATTTTAAACGGATACATGTCAACATAATTTCGCGGCTTTATGCTGAGAATTTCGATTCCATTTCAACGGAAAATATAGGAGTTTTTGCGTGCCTCAGTATCTACTTGTTTTCCTCCATGTTACTTTTTATTGCAAATTATGGTGATGCCTAATTTTAAATAATAATGTAAACACTGCATCTGTGCAATAATGAGTATCAGTAAATACAACAATATCAATAAATATATTGCTCAAGTGATCTGTGTTTGACTAATACTTTGAAATGCTGACAAAGGAGGCATTTAAACGCTTGTCTAAAGATACCTTTAGGTTAAATTAGTTGCACACAAACTTATAGAGGAAATAATAAAATAAGTAGATGAAAACCAGAATGTTGTCTTGAAGAATAACAACGTTGTTCTCAATTGTTTAAAAACTACCACACAATATCAAGAAGATCTAATATCTACATATTAGACTACGAGTTTATATTTTACTAAAGTGTGCGGTTTATAAACTAGTTTATTCCGTGTAATTTTGAAAACTTTCAGATATGTAAAATTTGGTACAAAAGAATATTTCGAATCTAGATATCTAGTGTTCCTACTTAACTAGTCAAAAAAAGCTTTGCCAAGTTTTCAGATAAGAAACTAAAAATTGTATTTGAATGGAATACTAATGTGTGTGATGAAATATGACAAATGTTTTTTTTTCAATTAAACACAAGGCATTGATCTTTAGAATAAAGGAAAGTCAATGTTTGATATTAAATTTATTTTGCAACTCTTCCATCAGTATTTCTCTAAATATTGTAATATTATTACAGTGCAACCACATTCGTTTATTTGCAATCGTGTTTGAACTTTTGATAAACTAGATGTGGAGAAAAGAAAGAACAATAAATGGTAATAAAAAAGTTTATTATTCGCAGCGATGCTTTTAACTTTGAAATAAAAAGATTAAACCCATGTTTCACATTGAAAAAAATAGATGGAGCACATATTTCATTCACAGATTTCAAATGTTCTTATATATTAGGTAAAAAAAAGACCGACAAACATCCTAGACGAGACGTGCATACAGAAAATGGTTATAATTTTTTCCCTTTATGTTTTATTTTTACGCCATTGCTGCGTTATTAATTTTTTTTCAAATAATTAAATTGTCGCTCACGAAATAAAAATACACTTTCCGAATAAGATCTTCGATTTTGATGGTTCAACAATTCTTGACAACGTCAGGAAATCAAGTAATTTCTTACGAAGCTCTAACTTTTAAATATTTTTGTTTGACGAAACTCTTCCTCAGTGCACGCTGGGTTTTCCCTTGCATTTTGTTTGTTTGTTTCATTTTGATACCACTTGCTCTTCGTGGCTGGATGATACCTGGGTTAGTGTGTTCAATTAAAAAGAGGTTTCCTGCTTTCGATTATTTTGGCAGACCGAAAAGTCATTTGCTCATGCTGCTTTTGTTAGTTATTTTAATTTTAATAAATTCTTTCTAAGCAATATATATAACAGTATGTCTATTGCTAAGGAAGAAATTCGCATCCTTGAACAACAGGAGAAAGTTATATCTTTAATCTGGCGAAATAATTGAGCGGAATATTTCGAAATAATGGTTTCGTAAAAGAAGTTGAATTTTGAGCGTGTATTTCTTATAGTGGACAAATATGAATGGAACTATACAGATCTGTTGATTCTTTTACGAATTTAACAGATTTAATAGGTATATACCGTAGTAGGGAATTTAATACGGATTGATTTAGTGGTCCTATTTAAGAACGTTTAAATACAACATACATTTACATTTTACTTTAATTAAATGAATTTTTTTTCGTTTACAGACCTATTGTTCGTTTGCAGACCTATAGTATTAACAATTGTAGCACTAATTTGTCTGCAAAACCAATATTCTGTTCTACTTTTATAGTACATTGATAAAATATGTAATGTCAAATCTACCAAAATATGATGAAATTTACAGTGTTTCTGGTTCTATGGAAACACCGAAAAGGACAGCATAAATTACCTTCAAATTTAAAGTCTTCAGAACAATCTAAAATTTTAATATCTTATAGACAGCAGTGTAGTTTATTGACATTTGCTCGAGAAAAAAAATAAAAGAGAAATTCACCAAATCTGGAATGCCAGGAAAATGATGTATTAGCTTAGAAGCTTTTAAAACAGTCATTTTAAGTTAATAGTAAGTAACTACACTTAAGCCTATATCTTAGATGGACCATAAGTTGCGTAGATTAATTCTTTTTATCCACTGTAGAAAGAATCAATTTTTTCTTTGCTGCTGATATGTACAAAATAAAATTGTGTATAATAATCAATCATTAAGTAAATAAATAACTTTGATTACATCCAACCATATTACAATCATACATAAACTTGGTATTGGGTTAATCTTTGCTTTTCCTCTTTACAGCATTAGTAGTTAAAAAAAATCTCTGGTGACACTTCAATGTCCTGGAATTCATAAGCCAGGAAAATGACTGCCAGGATGAGGACAAATTCGTCACTTTATGGCATATAACTTAACTTTAATTTAATATTTTGGTCTAAGACGTTTACATTCTGCTCAAAACAACAGAATTTCTTAAAATAACTCAGATAAATCTATGTAGTTTATGTCATCAATGATTTCAAGAAGCCAGGAAAATGACAACACAAAAACCTACTCATTTTGAAAAATTTTTTGAAATAGATTTTGAACCAGAAAATTGGTTCTTTATTCATGCAACAGGAAATGTTCATATAGGAGGGTATCTAATCAATCTATTAACATAAGATATTGATTTCTGGCTCTATCTATTTTGGTTATAAACCACTAAATAAAAGTAGCCAGGAAAATGACAGATTTTCTTGGGACAAACAAATTATTGTTAGAAAAATTATTTAAACGAAGGTTTTGTAAATAATACCCTCTGCATATATTCTGGAAATGCTTACACAGGTTGAGATAAAAAAAATAGATATTGAAAAATTTATGGGAGGTTTTGAAGCTAGTTATTATTGGAAACATTGTTTGGGACATGCCAGGAAAATGACATTTTGAAGTTCAATAAAATTTTTTAACTGCACAAAACAGTCAATGCTAGTGCAAAGTCATTTTAAAATGCTAAAAGCAATGCAATTTAATAATTTATTTTAGAAAAAGTTCTTTTAGTATTATGGTATTAGATCTTGAAGCAAAGGACAGTGAATTGTCATATTTCGTGAGAATCACCCATATATATATATACACCACCAGAAATATTATGAAAATTCAATACGATAATTTCGTTATAAATTTGTTTCCAAAATGATTATAAAAGCCTCTTTAATACAATTAATAATATTTAGTTAAATTTCAGTAATAGTAATGGACTCAGTAATTGAATTAAAATATTTTATTCAAGTCAATTCAAGTCAAATATGGTTAGAATTATAAGAATAAAACCTTAGGAGGTAAATAGTTACCTTTGATCATATTAAAACTACTTCCATCATTTCTATTTATAACTAATTTTTAAAAATATTCTGCAATAAATTATTAAAACTATCAGTATAAATTTATTCATTTGACTTTAAAATATTTCACACTTCACTTCCGCTAAAAACAAGAGGTACTAGTAAAAGTTTCTTTATGGAATTGATTTTTTAAATATTTCTTCGCCTTTGAAAATATGAATTAAGTCAGTATTTATGCATGCTTTAAAAAATACCGTCAATGTTTTATGAATTCTAAGTTATGCGAAATAAAATAAACTGCTTTTAGAAGTTAAAAAAAAAGTTAAAAATAAGTTAGAAACCAATATACTTGAAGAAAAATAAACCTTCTTCCTTGGGGTATTCTAATCGATTACCCGTTACAGAAACGTGGAATTGCGTTACATAGTCTTATGTCGCCAGCAAAAATAGAAATTCCCATATCGTATAAGTCGTTGGTCTTAGTTTGAAATATTTCCTTTCACATATCTTGGAAAAGCTCGTTATTTTTATCGCGTTGATTAGAGCCAACTTAGGACTCTACACATTTTCTAATAGCTGTGAATTATGCGGAGAAAAGCGAAAAATTTTACTTTATTTCAACATTTCCCTCACTTTGGTTTTTA